AAATGTTTAATTATGTTTTTATATATGTTGGAAGCTGCCCAGAGGGGCTGGGGCAACCCAGCGAGATGTGTGGGGTATAAATAGTAAAATTATCATTATGGAATGGGACGTCCCTATTTTCATCAGACAAATGTTGGAGGGCGTGTGCATTAAAGAAAGGCAAGACTGGTTCACACTGAGCCAGAGATCTGACTTCTTGAGGTACTCAGAGGGCGACTGCTTAGCCTGGGAAGATCCTTCCAAGAGACATTTACACATGCAAATAGTTAAGAAGGGAAAGGAAACAAGGGTTCTTGGTGAACATCAAGGCTGCTAGTCTCAAAAGAAAGCAATCTGTCACAATTAAGATATTTGTCACTAAAAGGAACTGTATGACGCCTCCTGCTGACATCACTGTGGAAATAAGCAGTCTTAGCTTTACCAGGGGAAGCAAAGCAAAGCTCCTTCCTGTGACAAAATCTGTAGCATTTTTCAAAATCCAGGTGGCGATTAGATCCCGAAATGAGAGCCTCGCCCCAATAAGAGAGCCAGTGTGGTGTAGTGGTTAAGAGCGGAAGACTCGTAACCTGGTGAACCGGGTTCGCGTCCCCGCTCCTCCACATGCAGCTGCTGGGTGACCTTGGGCCAGTCACACTTCTCTGAAGTCTCTCAGCCCCACTCACCTCACAGAGTGTGTGTTGTGGGGGAGGAAGGGAAAGGAGAATGATGAATGTTAGAAAAATGTTGGAATGAAGTTATATGGCTTTAGTAGAAATGTTATAAGGAATTAAGTATAAATAGATTATTAGAGCATTAAAGGGAAAAATAAGGTTAGAATGTGTTAAGACAATTATAGGATAGAAAATAGAGGAAGATGGAAAGGAATTGCTGAAACAATTACCGGTAATAGAAGTGGAATACAAAAAGGGAGGTGTGAGGAAGTCGTGGAAATTAGTGAAAGAAGGATAAAATATTGAAATTGGACTGTGTTTTAAATGGTTTTTGTTTTGTTTTGTTAGTTGTATGTTAGTGTTTTGCAGTTTTGTTTTTTATTTTATTTTATTGTATTATTGAATGTTTTTTCTTTTTTGGTTTTTTGTAGTGTGGTGTTCAATTTGTTGGAAAACTAATAAATATTATTATTAAAAAAAGGAAGGGAAAGGAGAAAGTTAGCCGCTTTGAGACTCCTTAAAGGGAGTGAAAGGCGGGATATCAAATCCAAACTCTTCTTCTTCTTCTAAGAGTTCAGCTTCACAGCAGAAATGCACAACCCCTTCTTGGTCCCCATGGAAGCTTCCAAGCAGCATCTCTGCTCCTACAAAGCTCATATTAAATGCCCACGTTTGTTTATAAGTCATAGAATGATAGAATCGTAGAACTAGTCCAACCCCCTACAATGCAGGAATGCCTCCACGGAAGGCAGTTAAGGCCCCTTTGCAGAATTCTGGATGAAATTCCCCATAAGGAAAGCAAAAATGAGGTGTGATAAACTTCAAGAGTTTTTGACCAAAGTGGTTTTGACCAAAGAATGGAATTAAAATTACTCATTGTTTAAATGTCTCAGTAAACACACAGAGACTGCATGAGTGATACAGCAGGTCTCATCTTTCACTGGGTTGTTGGTAGGAGACCATGGCTGGAGACCATGGAGGAGGGAGCCTTTAGGGCTGAAGGCAAACCTGTAGAGTTACAGCATCTGCTGTGCTGTGGCTGTACAGTCATACCTCATGTTACGTTTGCTTCATGTTACGTTTTTTCAGGTTGCATTCCGTGGCGACCCGGAAGTCCCAGAAAGGGTTACTTCTGGGTTTCGCCACTCGCGCATGCACAGAAGTGCTAAATTGCGCTTCACACATGCTCACAAGCGCCAAATTGCGGCGCACACCTGCGCAGATACAGCGCTTCAGGTTGCGGGCTTTTCATGTTGCTAACGGGCCTCTGGAACGGATCCTGTTCGCAACCAGAGGTACCATGGTAGTGCATTGGGTATGTAAGACAGAGAGAAGTATATTATGGGAACAAAGTGGGATAATAATTGTAAAGCACCTAACATAGGGAAACATACTAAGAAGAAGAGTTTGGATTTGATATCCCGCTTTATCACTACCCGAAGGAGTCTCAAAGCGGCTAACGTTCTCCTTTCCCTTCCTCCCCCACAACAAACACTCTGTGAGGTGAGTGGGGCTGAGAGGCTTCAGAGAAGTGTGACTGGCCCAAGGTCACCCAGCAGCTGCAGGTGGAGGAGCGGAGATGCGAACCCGGTTCACCAGATTAAGAGACTACCGCTCTTAACCACTACACCTCCCTGGCTCTCTCTAAATGAACATACTCCTTCCTTGGAGGTTTTTAAGCAGAGGTTGGATAGTCATCTGTCATGGATGCTTTAGCTGAGATTCCTGCATTGCAGGGGTCCAGGTTGTCAACATCCTTCTTAAATTGTGGTGCCCAGAACTGGACACAATATTCAATGGGTGGTCTGACCAAGGCAGAACAAAGTGGGACTATAGGACTTCCCTTGGTTCGGGACACTTTATTTCTGGTGATACAACCTAGAATAGCATTAGAATTTTTTGCTGCTGTATCACACTGCTGACTCATGTTAAGCTTGTGGTCTACTAAGCCCTCTAGATCCTTTTCACATGTACTACTGGCAAAGCCACGTGTCGCCCATCTTATATTTGTGCAGCTGGTTCTTCCTGCTTAAGTGCTGTAGGGATTAAATGAGGAGGTGGAGAACCACGCCTGCTGCCTTGACCTCCCTGGAACTTAAGGTGGTATTATTATTATTATTGTTTATTAATTTATATATAATATAAATGCAATATATAAATACATAATAAACTGGGAAGGTCCAACTCAGATCTTGCCATTTGAAATGCTCCGCATTCCCTGATGCTCACGACAGTTTGCCCATGATAAGAACACATCTGTTGGATTTTTATTTTTTATTTAACATAATTGTTACAAAATATAAGCAAAACACTGCAAATACATACACACATATACATTTCAAATAAGCACATATAAATGAAAAAGGAACAAAAGAGAAAAGAAGAAAAGAGAAAAGAAGAAGAAAAGAGAAAAGTTGGAAGAATTTCTTCCAAATTTATTCTACAAATATCTCAATATGAAAATAATAATAAAATTTCATTGATTGACTTCCATCGCTTACACATCTGTTGGATTTTTAAGGAGAAATGAAACTCTTTTTAAGAGGACTGGTTTTAAGAGGGGGTGGGGGTCCTCTTTAAATTTCTAGACCAGGGGGGAGAGGATTTGCACTTGAGCAGTGCAATCCTGTACATGTCTTCCCTATTGTTTTTCAAAGGCGTGTGTATAGGATTGCAAACTTTGAAATGAGCCAGCTACAGCCAGAGAAGGTTGAAAGGGAGGTGTAGGAGAAGTGGGGAAACCCGCTGGATGGGAGTCGTAGAGCAGAGGGAGTGGTGCTTTTTGAAGGGCAGTCCATATCTCCATCATTTGCCTTGTGGGGCTGGGTATGGGGGGCCTGGTTTGCCTTGGGGCCCAGAATACTCTCTCGGAGCCTGGCCTGGCCTCCAGGCAATTTCCTACTGCAGGGCTGGCCACAGGGCGGTGATGTATCTGCCTGCCTGCTTGGAAAGGGAAGTTGAATGGAGAAGAGGTGGGTGGAGGAAAGGCCTTTGGCCAGTTTACTAAACCATTTAGAAGGGGCCATTATTATCTGGGAGGAAGGGAGGGGTTGCAGACCGAAAGCCGTAGCTCCTCCAGTGGGTCACAGCTGTTCTGTTCCAGAAGTATTGAGAATAGCCTTGAGATCTGCAGGTATAGGAAGAAGAAGAAGAGTTTGGATTTGATATCCCACTTTATTACTACCCGAAGGAGTCTCAAAGCAGCTAACATTCTCCTTTCCCTTCCTCCCCCACAACAAACACTCTGTGAGGTGAGTGGGGCTGAGAGACTTCAGAGAAGTGTGACTGGCCCAAGGTCACCCAGCAGCTGCATGGGGAGGAGCGGAGACGCGAACCCGGTTCACCAGATTACGAGTCCATCGCTCTTAACCACCACACCACACTGGCTGTTGGGGTTATACACATTTTATTAATTAATTTAATAATAATAATAATAATAATAATAATAATAATAATAATAATAGAAGTGAGCAGTAAAGCACCTCACAACCCTTTATGTCCTTGCTCTGTTTCCCCAACCCTCCAATTCCAAACTCACTAGTGAGAAAAATGTACTCTGCACATGCACAGAGTGTGTGTATGAACTTAACAACACTTAGCTTTATACTTTAAAGTGATTATTTTGTTAACGTTATTAATGTTGTATTATAGATTATAAATGCTGCATTGATTTGTTAATCATATGAGTTTTGCTGTAATTGTGACGTTTAGCTTATTTTTTATTACTGTTTTGTTAATGGTTTTTTATATATTGTAATTGTTTTATTGATTTGTTAGTTGCTTTGTAATATTTATGCTGTATTTAGAATCAAAAAATCATGTATGTTCTGTTATTGCTATTTATTGTTTGTAAGCCGCTCTGAGCCTCATCTGAATGAAAAGTGGCGTGGAAATTCAAAAAATCAAACCAGAGAGCCACTGACAAGGTGATGATGAAAAAAACCACATGCTTTTCAGCCGGGCTTGCTGCCTGGTAATTATGCACAGGATCGCACCGCAACCAAAGTACCGTATTCACAATCCCAAAATCAATGCTGAGCGGCGTTGTGCACAAATTCAATGGCACTGTGTCTTTTAATCCGTCACGCGCTGAGAAGTGGGCCCCTAACCCTTTCCCTCTCTCCCCGGGAACACTCTGCACATGCTCAGACACCCCTCTTTTCTCCTTTCCCACGTGCTGGGGCGACGCCACGCCCCCGGCCCGCTAGTCAGCGGCGAGGGCATTCTGCACATGCTCGTCGGCACCGAGCAAATGAGGTCAGCGCGAAGCCGCTGCAGGTCTCTAACCTCGGCCGGGAAAGCGGCGCACCTGCCTGCGACCCAGCAGCGCCCTCGGGGCGGCGTCTGCCGGCCTCCTCCGGGTCCGCCTCCCCGCCGCCCAGCTGCGCGCCCGGGCGGGCCCGCTTGGCAGCGTGTCCGGCTCTCTCCCGGGCGCCCTCCTCCCGGCTCGCCAGGCCCGGAGCGCCCCCTGTGGCCGCCTGGCTGCCCCCGGGGCGCCCCCTCCCTCCCTCGCCGCCCGCCTGCCTCCTTCCCCGGCCGCCTCGTCGCCGGCCAGCCGCGCCGTCCTTGCCCCGGCTCCGCATCGCGTCCTTGGCCCGCCGGCGCGCCCCGCCCCGTCCCTCGCCGGCCAGAAGCAGCAGCAGCAGCGCCGGGGGCGGCAGCCCGTCGTTGCGCGCGGCGCCCCGGGCGAGGACGAGCCGAGGCGGCGGCTCTAACAGGTGGGATCCCGCGGCGAGGGGGCGGAGGAGCCAGCGGGCGGGGGCAAAGGAGGAAGGAGCGGCCAGACCCAGACCCAGCCCCGCCGACACCGACGCCGCCGACGCCTGCCAGGCGAGCTGGTTCCCGCGCCACACCAGCGCCTGCTGCCGCCCCAGCTCGCCGGTGCCTTGCCAGCGCCGCCGCTGTCCCGGCCGCCCCCGTCCGTCCCGCCTGCCTGCCTGCCCGCCGCGTCGCCGGCCTCGCCCGCCTGCCCGCCCTCGGGGCTCCTCCTTCCGCGCTCGCCTTGGCCACGCCACGCCAGGCAGGGCGCCGCGCTCGGCGCTCGCTCGCGCTCTCCGCCCGGGACAGGGGCTGCTCCGCCGCCGCCGCGATGCCGAAGCCGACCCAGCCGCCGCCGCCGCCGCCGCTCCTGCTGCGCTCGGCCAGCGGCGGCGGAGGCGGCAGCCGCCCCGGGGACAGCGAGCTGGGCCGGCAGTTCCGGGACTGGTGCCTGCGCACCTACGGCGACTCGGCCAAGACCAAGACGGTGACCCGGAGCAAGTACCAGCGCATCGCCGAGGTGCTGCAGGGGGGAGCCGGCGCGGGCGGCGGAGGCGGCGGCGCAGGAGGAGAGAAAGGCAAGTTCCAGTTCTGGGTGCGCTCCAAGGGCTTCCGCCTGGGCAACGGCGCTCGGGAGCCGCCGGCCGCGGCGGCGAAGATGGGTCAAGTGGTGGTCTATGTGCCGGTGAAGACGGGAACGGTTAGTGCGCCCCCAGCCTGTCTGTGCGTCCGTCCATGTGCCGTGTCTGTGTTTCCCCGGGTGGGTGGGTGGGTGCCATGGGGGGGGGTGTCGGCACCGCAGTGCCCCGGAGGGTGTGTGGGAAAGAGGGTGTGTTGGTGCCCCGGCCCAGCCTATCCCGCCACCCCCCCCCTGCCCTGTCCCGTCCCGTCGCACCCTGTCCCGTGCCGCATGGCCAGGAGGGCGCGCCGGAGCCAGACAGATGCCCGCGCCTCCAGCCGCGCCCCCTCCCGCTGCCCTCCCCTCTCCCTTGGCACAGCAGGAGGTCATTTGGGGGTGGGAGCAAAGTGGGGGCGGCGGCATGGCTGCGCTCTCGCATCTCCAGCGCTTTTCTCCACGGGGTCGGGACAGTCCCTGCTGCCAAGACCTCCCCCCCCCTCTCTCTCCCTCCCTCCCCGCCCCGGGAGGTCATTTTTTTGGGGGGGGGAGAGCGGAGACCCTGGGGAGGGGGAGGTGCCCCGCCTCCTCCTCCCACCCCCTCCCGCCTCCTCCAAATGTCCCACTTCCTCGAGCTCAGCAGGCGCCGGAGCGGGGCGGGGAGCGGGGTCGCCTTTGCGCGGGGCAGCCTCTCTCCCCGCGCCCCTCCCGGCCCAGCCAGCTGCAGCTTCAACCCCCCGCTCCCACCTCCACCGCCTTCCTCGTGCCAACGGATTGGGGGCCAAATCTCCCCCTCCCCCGGGCAGGCGCGCGCGCGAGAGCGCGATGGAGAAGGGACCCCCAGCCAGCGCCTTCCCCTCCCGGCCGGGCGCCCCTCCACCTGCTCCCCCTCGACTGCCTTGTCCCGGGGAGGAGGAGGAGGAGAGGGGGGAGCCTTCCCCTCCCCTACCCCTTTGCCCCCCGAGGGGAGGGGGCGGCCGGGGCTGCGCCGGGCAGGTTGCCTTGCGCGGCGCCGGCTGCGCTCGGGGGTCTCCGCCGCTTGCCGCCTGTCCCGCCGAGGCGCCCTCATTGTTCCGCGCCTGTCCGGCGGGCCCAGGACGCCGCCCGCCCGGCCTCCGCACACCCCCTCGGCCTCGCCTCCGTCCCAGCAGGCTGCTGGCCCGGGAAGGCGCAGCCCAGCCGGCCCCCTGCCGCTCCCGCCCAGAGCCCGCATTGTTCCCTTGGCGAAGGCCGGGGCGCTTTCTCCACACCCCCCCTCCAAAGCGCACCCCCAATTTAAACTTTCCGCCGGGGTGCGCGGACGGGGCGGGGCAGCCAGGAGCCGCCTCGTGCATTTGGACATGGGCGCCCGTCCCCTCCCTGGGCCGCCCCCGGCCCGTCCGCATCCATCCATCCATCCCTCCATCCTCCCTCCCTCTGCTCAGCTGGCTGTGCCAGGGTGGGCTTGGGCACGCTGGGAAATAGAGGGGGGGCTCTCTCTCTCTCTCGCTCCCCCCCCAGCTCTCTCTCTCTCTCTCCAGCTCGCGTCTCTCTCCCCCCCACCCCACCCCGCCCCGGCGAGCCAGCCCGTCCCTTGCACCATCTGCCCAGGAGATTGGGCGCCTGGCAGACAATTGCTCGGAGGTGGCCTTGCTGGAAAAGTGCACTTCTGTGTGCGCGCCTGCCCCCCCCTCCCCTCCCCAAGCAAGGAGGCACCAGCTTAGCTCTGCTGCTGCTGCTGCTGAGCTCAAGGGCTGGCAGGGAGAATATTCTCCAAGGGGAAGAAAAGTGTCTAGCAGAGGAGGAGGAGGGATTACTTATTTATTTAATATTTCCCCCTCCTTCCTTCTCCAGCGCTGCTCCTCGCAGGCTTGCTGCTGCCATCAGGAGGGCACAGGAGGGGTTTTTCTTTTCCAGGCTGGGGGGAGGATGCCATGAGGGCAGCCCATCTGTGTGAAATGGGGCACGGCTTGCCTCCCATCTGGCCTCCCTGGTTATGGGGGGAGGAGGACGGCCATTCTCTTTCCCCTTGCCCCCCTTTACGCAGAGAGCAGTTTTTAGTGGATTTTAGTGCCGGAGCTAAATTTGGAGAGGTATTCTGACTCGAATGTTGCAAACACCCACTGAAAGTACCAGAAACCCTGCTTCTCCTTTCTGGTTTGTGCATCCTGCTTTTCTCAAATGATGTGCTTGTTTGGGGGCGCCCCACGGGCCCTGGGCTGCCTCCTTCCCCAGAGCTTTTGTGTTGCGCACGCATGTGAGTTCTCTCTCTCTCTCACACACACACCCTTAACCAGTCGCTGTGTGGTTTGGGACACCCTGCCCCCCCCCCAGAGTCTGCCTTGCACAGTGACTAGCAGAAGCCAGGGAAATCCTCTGTGTTTTTGTGTGTGTGTGTGGTGAGCCTCTGGGCCCAACACTTGCTTCCCTTTCCTGCGGGACCCACTGCACACCCCATGGCTTCTCCAAATCAACAAGCCACACCTTGGCCTCGTGAGGTTCAGGGGAGGGACCCAACAAGCCCCAGTTCAGTCCCCAGAGATTGCAGCACCTGCCGGCAGCGGAACTGATGTCTGCTGGGGAAGAAGGGAGCCCAAAATGGCTCCAGCCCCTCTGCCATCTGCCTCAAACCCACCTGACCAGTTTTTCTGCTGGCCACATGGCTCCCAACTCCCCCTCTCCCAATATTTGTGTGTCTCTTTTTGTTTGCTTTTGGCTTAGCCTTTACCTTAGTCAGTGGACCTGTAGCCATTTTTTTGCATACAATTATAAAATAGTTTGCATGCGCAGAGGAAGTGCCATCTCTTGCCTGATGGGACTGTCCTGGGACAGACCAGGGCATGAGTAGGGAAAGTCAAGGAGCGCCCCCCCCCATCTTCCTCCCCAGTGTTAGAAATTAGCCAGGCACTTTTGGCAACTGGCAAAGGTCCAATTGCTACCATGGGGAAGTCTCTGGACGATTGGCAGATGAACTCTCCATTTGGCTGGGCCCTAAAGCTTTCTGCAGCAGGTAAACAGAAGAGGTTATGTATTGCAATTATAGTCCACCTTTTTCTCCAAGAAGTACATGGTTCACCCCCTCAGTTAACCCCTACAACAACCTTGCGAGGTAGGTTAAGAGGCTATGACCCAAGGTCACCCAGTGAGCTTCATAGCTTAAATGGGGATTTGAACTCTGATCTCCCAGGTCCTAGTCCAACACTTGAACCACTTTTTTATTTTATTACATTTGTATACCACCCTGTGCCCACAGACCTCACACTGTACCCCACTGGCTTCCCAGAGTACGTCTGCTATAGGGCAGCTCTGTGAATTAAGTAGGTAAATAAAAATGGGGAAAGCAAAATGTCACTTAGAGAAGGAACGGAAGTATTCTCCTTGAAGCTTGAATTTATTTTATTCTGGGTTGTTTTGTTTTATGTGCTAATGTGTTGTGAACCGCTTTGAGATTTTTATTCTTTAAGCTGTAAAGTGGTGTAGAACTGAAATGCATAATAATAATAATAATAATAATAATAATAATAATAATAATAATAATGTTCATTGCAAGGGGGGAAATAGTGCCTAGATGTTCTGTTGTGGCCACCGTAGCCTAGGCTTAAAGGTGCCGTTTGGCGATTAGCTTATATACCTGAGTTTCTAACACCGTTCCTCCCTATTAAACACTGGGGGGGGGGCATAGTTCCTGCATTCTCCTGCACAACCCCAAAGAGATGAAAAGTAGGGTTCCTGGCATAGTCACTGTTTATTCCAGAGGAGGCTTGCATAGGAGGATGTCCCAGTGGGTTGTGGCCTAAGGGCCGGATCTGCCCCCCTCCAACTCCAGCACCTTTAATGCCCCCTAAACTGCCCCCCACCTCTGGGCCCCGTCCCCCAAAGCACGAAGCGTTCCAGAGGCTGTCTTCTGCCCTCCCAACCCTCTGGCCATTTCCCTGCGTGGACTTCATGGGACCTGCATGAGACAGTCCTGGGAGGAAGTGCGTTTATCCTTTATGATACCACCCTTTGCGTGTCCGTGTTTTGAGAGGAGGTACTGTAGATTGACAAAGCCAACATTAGAGAAATGCGTGGAGCAGAGGGCCATTGATGGCTGTGCCCTGCCCTCTGAATACCAGCTGGTGGAAACTGCAAGAGGGCAGAGTTGCTTTTGTCCCCGAACCTTCTTGTGGATTATTTTCCTTGTGGTTGGCGATGGTGGGAACCGGAGACTGGGCTAGACAGGACCCCTTTGGCCTGATATTGCATGCTCTTCTTATGGTCTTACGTAATTCCGTTACTATTCCTTCCTTCCTTTTTTCTCCCCTTAAAAGGGCCACCCTCCCCGTGGCTTGTGGGTGCTGTTGTTTTTGCAACGCCTCTCGCCTCCGCTTTTCCACCTGGGGCTGGAACTGGGAGAGAAACGCAGGCAGGCAAACGCCTTTCCTTTGCAGTATATTCAATATTGCGCTTCTCTTCCTAGGCTTGGGTTTCTGACTAAGAGGTCTGCCTCTTTCTCCCTGGCTGGGGAGGGGGGCGGCGGCGGCGGAGGCAGCATTCCTCGGTCAGCAGCGTCTCCTTACATCCTGTCCCATCCTCCTCTGCCAAAAATGTGCAGTGACCTTGCTGGGTGGTTGCCGTGGGGCGCCCCGCTCGGTGACCTGTTGCTCCAGCCGTTGCATTTGCCTTTTGCTCACTGGGGGGGGGGCAGGGAGTGAGGGGCGGAGGGGAGAGGAGAGGAGGCCCCGCCAGCTAGCCAGGGCAAAAAACCCGCTGCTGCCGAGATACTTCTAACTGGGGCAATTAGCTCTGCCAATTAGTAGGGCAAATGCTTCCCAGCCAGTTCCTCTCCTTCCCACCCCCTGCTCCACCCTAGGGGCTATTTGGAAGTGGGGGGGGCACATTCCCACTGTTGCCACTGCAGGTTGTGTGTGTGTTTGGAGGAGAGGCACTCTATTCCCCAAAACGTCCTTGGCTTTTGCAGACAAAGGGTTTGGGAATCCAGGCGGGTTCGCTGAGCAGGGAGGAGACCCTCTGCGAGGTCCTGCTCAGTGTCTGCAGGTTGCCAGGGGGAGAAATCTGAAGTCCAAAGAGATAGCAGAGGAGCGGAAGAATGTGCAAGGGATCCC